TGGGCGAATCTTTGTTCCATACTTGTAACTACGACGTCCATCGTTGGAAAAAATGTATTAATTTTAAAATTGTCTTCAGGTGTGTGAATAGTTTCTTCATGACCTATGTTACCCTCCAATCTTCGTGATACCATTCGCTTTCGTTTTTGAGGAATTTCAAACTCTATTTCTATTTCATTTTCTTGTTCCCAAATTTTTTCAGAGACAAAATTAATAAAAATCTTAGCTGCTGTACTTATTGGAGTAAAATTTCGTTGATTTTGCTTTAATAATTTCTCTGTAACAACAATTTTTCTATAAGCTTGGATATAATCAAGATTTGATGATTGTAAATAATCACACAGTGGAGTTGTCAACTTAAATATATGAAGAAACGTCATTGCTGTTAATGTGGTCTCATAGCTCGTAAGGTGACCCAACAAACTTCTTGCATTACTTCTAACATTAACATTAAAATCATTGGATTGTGAAATTTCATAAAGGGATAGAACTATTTTAACATATATAAAAGATTTCCGTTCTCCGTGTTGAGCTTCAACTATCCACATATCAGCTCGACCAAATATGTTTTGTACTGAATCACTTTTACATCGCCAACGAGTAGTTGAATCAATATTAGATGTTATGTGGACTTGTGATATTAGCGGTGAATTTGATAAAACTTTTTCAGAAATAAATTCAATCTGATTTGACTCTAGATTTTGATTTTTTTTCAGTTTAGCGGAATCCTGATTTAAAACAGTGGGTGTGAAAAAATTTGTCATTTTTTTAGATTTAGAGGCAATTTCATCGAGACATTTTTTGTTTTGCTCTTTTCGTTTAAGAAAGCCACTTTTTTGGATTTTTTTCTTTTGATTATTCTGTTCCATTGTGAACTATAAATACAAATTTAAATTTAAAAATATACCTACCGATTAAATGTTCGATAAAAATATAAATAAAATAATGAGTAATATAATACGTTTGTAAAACAACATTCTAGTTCACCGGTGATAATATTATATTCCGACCTGATTGAATAAAATTATTAAAATGAAGGAAAATGTATTATTTCTGAGAATTAATTTGAATTAGTTTAATTATTCAATAAAATAATAATGTACTCCTTATTCTTGTATGAAAATAAAACTCGATATGGGCCTATTTATAAGTAAACAATATAAGAATAGACTATCCAAATTATATTATTTAGTAATATCTTTTAATAAACGATTATACATATTTACATTATTGATAAATAAATTACAAAATTAATAATAACATTAATAACCAACAGATTAAAAAATTTAGATTTAGATTAAAAATACGACTAAGAATACGTAACACTAATTAACTCATGTTTTATTATGACAATAGTTAGTAATAAGTTAGTAACTTATATATTGACTTTTCTGTGTATTAATTTAAAAATCATGTCTTAATATTATTACTTTTTTGTACATAACAGCACACCAAATCTCAAATAATTTTAACATTATAAACCGGTATCCCGGTGGGCCAGTACGCGCCTGTATTAACTATAGGTTTTTTTTTTAATATGTTAACTTCTATAGTATTTTGATATCGGCGAAATTATTAACCAAATAATACAAATACCTAATCAAATATAAATTATTAATTTATTTTTTAAAAAACATACAATGTGTATATTATATTAACGTCTTTGAGACATATAAAATAATAGTTATATAGAAATATTTTTGAAGCGCAATGTTATATACGAAAACGTGTTGCGATTGTCTATACACTAAAAAATAATTCTATAAAGCATTTGACATATTCTATAATCTATATAGACTAAAAAAACTTGTACGCACTTAACATTTTAAAATATGTATAGATACCACACGCGGCACGAGTCACCAATGAAAATTGTCGTTTTATATTATTTCAAACTAAATAAATATCAATNTACGAGGATTTTCAAGCAAACTTTTCAATCACAAAAACATCCACATTGTTTAAGGCGTATAAAGATTTTCAAAAATCGTATTATGGAAAAGAGACAAGTGCGCTATTATTAACGAAAAAAAAAATTTTCTGCAAACGCACCGATCGTAGTTGTGGATTTATGGAGACAGAACGACAACGTCAAAGCATCGACCGTAGACTTACGTATCGAATTTGAAACGGATGAAGCGGTTCCAGGAAAAACAGCAGCATATTGCCTAATCTTACACGACCAAATTATATCTTATAACCCATTTAACGGAGATGTACGAAAATCGTAACCTTATATTGTAAAACTTAAATATAATTAGGAATAAATAAATAAAAAATAGATTTTTTAAAGAGTAAATAATTGTGTTTTTATTTCTATTTTAAATACTAGTTATTTAACAATTGTATTATTTTTTCCCCGATTAGTACAGACAGTATTTGTGTATATTATATTCTTCTTCATCGTCATCGCCGTCATCATTCAAAATCATCGAATATTGAGGGCCGTATGGCTCATCGTTTTGGTCAACTCCTCTCTCCTTTTCGATGCGTGGTGTAGAGAAGCTTGAAGATATCGGTGTGTAACGCAATGTCGGTAGTTGTGGCGATGGGGGTGAATTGATACGCTATAATAAAATATTAAGTTAATATTTATAAATAATAATAAAAATGTTATGCTGACGTCAACCGAATCCGTTGAACTTGGTCTCATAATCGAGCCGGCGTTATTATTAGGATAATGATAGAATGATGTTGTACTGGGTCAAGTCCTACATGCAGAAACTTACGACCTGCAAAATCTATTGTGAACGACGTAGAATCGATGAGGTCGGCCGGTGGTGTTGGTGCTATGTAGATGAACTTCTTAACAGCGTTCGTGTCGGCCATAGTGAAAAATTATGTTTATATATATATGAAAAATAATATAAGTTAAAAATCAATCTTGAACTATTCGCTAAAGTCTGCCTGGGTAGGTCTTTATACGATATAGTTCAGAAGCGTATTGAATAGTTGGACGCACAGAGCTGCCTTATATATCCGTCACCGAGTATATAGAAAGGGTAATATTATGCTCAGAATTGTATTATTGTGCAATAGTATATTAACATCTATATGCGATCTAATGACTTTTGACTACCGATTTCGCGGTGGCGGGTATGTGTTTACGCGGCGTCTTCGATAATAATATAGTGTATAGGTTAACTATACCCAACATTATGCAAAAGTCTATTAGTAGCTAATGACTGACCGAGTACGACAATATAAATTTTATACTTAGAAGAAAAATTCGTACGACACATCGTATTATAATGGTAATCCTTATAATATAGGTACCTATAGTGATGACGAAAAGAAAAATAATATTATTCTTTCGCCGACTGTATCAACTATACATATAGGTATTATTTATCGGTATACTAATATTTCAAGGCGACGGGTGTGTATGTATATATATAGGTATAGGTACGTATGGGTATAGGTTTATGTATGTGTATGTGTATGTATGTGTATAGGTACGTATGGGTGT